GATGTACCCAACCCATCTATGATCCATATTCTTTTATTTTTATATTGTCCCCCTTATAAATTTGTATTTCAGGCACTTACACTGATTCATTCTAACTAAGTAATTCAGAAGACATGATACGCAGGTAGCAAGCCTTTCAGTATTTTACTAATCTTCTTCCTGTTAGTTATATCTGTGTCCCAAGGTTTTTTATTAAAATTAAGTCCAGGATCCAAACTGTAATGGATGCAAATATATATAGCACATGGTTGTCCTATTAAAAACTCTCCTTCTTTATACAAAATACAAAATGATGTAAAGTAATACAAAAAAAGAGATGCTGAGGTTCTAGAAAGAGTTCAGAGAAGAGCAACAGATTATGAGGAGTCTGGAGGCTAAACTGTATAATGAACTATTGGGGGAATTAGGCATGTCTAATACACAGTGCCAGTGTATTCTGTCTGTATGCGCATTTGCACAATAATGATCACACAAGGCCTTATGTACAAGGGATGTTGAAATCCAGTGCATTAAGTCCATGATACATTTACCATGTTAAAGCCAGTAAAGCCAGTGGCTTAATTTATCAAATAATATCTGTGCCATGTTAAATAATCATACAACTGTTGAAGGAAAAGACTTCATCATGATTCAGTCCAAGCCGGGAATAAACAACATGGTGACTGCTTTAGAAAGAAGGTTGCAGTTTATTGAAGAGGAGAGCCAGACAGAAAGATGGCTCTGGAAGAAAAGAGAGAGAGCACATGTAGGGAGTGGGTTTTTATACCCTCTGGGGCTCTTGAGGTTGTTTCCTGTTCCTGTTTGAGGCTTTGTATTTCCTGTGTCATGTATTTTGTTCCCTTTGGCTTCTGTGGGTTAATCCTATTATGTCCTGTCTTAGAGTTTGGATGGGGTATGTAGATTTTAGGTATCTGTCTTCCTAAGCTTCTAGCTGGAGGCCTCCAACCTTCCTAGATTATTTACATTTGCATTTGTACAGAGCTGGTTTCTGCTTGGGGGAGGGAGACTTGGGGCTATTAAGAAAAAACTGGGCATGCTTTTCTGCCTCTTTAAGATCCTTTGAGGAAATATAATATTTTGCCCTTTTAATATTTCCTTCCCTGACTTCCCACACGACCATTATTGGTTATTCATTTTCATTGGCCAAGATTATGTTATCAGGATCTGTATTTTCAAGGATCTCTGTTACCCCGGTGCAAACTATTGAGTGTTTAAAACCTTTTTTTTAATTGGATTTTCTCTTTAGGAGAGGGTGTTTCCCTAATTTCAGTTTTAGTTTTTTGCAAGAATCTCAAGCAATGTTTATACTTTTCAGAGTTAATTTACCATACAAATATTTTCATGTATGATAATGAGTCCTTGCAATATAGTCTCATAATATAATATATAAGGCAATGCAATGCATATTTTTTTATAAAAACATGCATGGACAACAGTACTATGCTAAAGAGATTTTTTTTTTCTCATGGGAATGTCAAATCTCAAAAAGAATTATATTCTAGATAAGCCTGAGAACAGTAAGAGTTACTAAATGCTAGCATTCTGTTGTCCATTGTTTCTCTTATCATTTAATCAGGTGTGTTCCTCTCATTCAAAACTGCAGACAGTTTTACTTCTGTTTGTTTTTGCTGGCTCCCTTCTGACCTTCTCCTTACTGAAAGAATTGATCACACTGAGCTGGTGCAGTAGCAATGTTCATATGGATTGATTTCTTTTTTTTAATGTTAAACAGAGTTTTATTCAAGAGCATGTCATAATTGCCTTTGTGCTTTCTTTCTCTGTGAGATGTTTATATTGTCGATGTCTACTAATCTGAATGGAGTGATTACATAATCAATTCAGTGTTTACATCTCTCAGGATTTTGTTTTAAATTGCAGCATGTATATTTTTTCCACAGCAAATATTGTATTTATTTTTGATCTTGTTCATTCTGCATTATATCTTTACTGGATAGTCAAACCCTATGTTTTAGTCTCAGTTGGAATCTCTTTGTTCAATTTTTATTCCTGATAATTTAAACATGAAATTCCAAAACTTTGTTTCTATAGCAACTAACATGGCTTACTCCAGGGCTAGCATTTTCTTTTAAGTAAGAGTGAAAACCAGCAAGACCCATCAGTAAGCAGAATGTTTATTGCTAGCAGAATAAATTCCTTCACTCTGTTATATCCAAATGCCCTCAAATCTGTTTTCTGTACATTTAAGTGGACAGAAATAGAGGACTCTCCTACAAAACTGAATATGCCCTAATTTTAGTCATGACTTTCATAAAGGAATAACTATTTTGAGTGAATTTAAATCTTCAGACTCAAAATCAGATGAATTGCACATGCACCAGATTTGAACATCTTTTTCTTTTTTCCCAACGAAGTTTTCACTGAGAGCAGACAATATTAGAAGTCATACTAGATCCAATTCCTTCTAGGTCATGTTAGCATTTGTATGTGGAACTTCAAATTTATATTTATTTGTATATTTTTCTATATATCTTTTGGGAACATGCATGTACAGGTAGTCCTCAACTTATAACCATTAATTTCATGATCAAAGTTACAACAGCACCGGGAAAAGTGACTTATGACCGATTTTCACACTTATGACTGTTGCCGCACCCCATGGTCACGTGATCTAAATTCAGGTGCTTGGCCCCTGGGGTGTATTTATGACAGTTGGGCTGTCCCAGGATCATGTGATCACTATTTGTAGCCTTCCCAGTCGGCTTCTGACAAACAGTCAATGGGGGAACCAGATTCGCTTAATGACCAAATGATTCACTTAACAACTGTGGCAAGAAAAGTCATAAAATGGGGTAAAACTCTCTTACCAACTGCCTTGCTTAGCAATGGAAATTTTGGTTGTAAGTCAAGGACTACCTGTAAATGATAGTATCTTAGAAGTATGGTCTCAAAAAAATATGTTTTCTCTAACAGTTTTGTCATACCAATTGATCAGACTATTCTCCTTGTTTGGGGCACAAGCCCTGCAAGATTGAATTTACAAGGAAGCATTCTCTGTCATTGCCCTCTTTTCTGAAATACTGTGCTTTAAGAAATGTGAGGGCCCCCTGCACACTGGGAATTCAATAAAGCCATTAACATTTGGCTATTTCAGCAAGCTTGAGAGACTTGAAAGATAGCATGGTTCATTCCTGTTGGGAAATATTTGTGAGTTTCCTGATGCTCCCTCCCCCCCCCCCCATTTTGATTGTAATTGTTGCTTTGTTATCATTTGATATTTTTAATCTGGCTACTGCATGAAGTATGCGAGCCCCTCAGAGTCCATTTTTAATTGGAGAGGCGTATAAATGTAGCAGATAATTAAACAATGAAGAGCTCAGTTCTTCGTATCTTTTGCTTCTCTTTGTATCCCTTACTCTGTTCTGACAAACTTAAGGTTGCGTTGGTGCCTTCAGGACTGGAATGTTTCATAAATATTAAGTAGAGCCCGAGAAACATTAGGAATTTTGATTTATGTAGCGGAATACCTTTGGAAGGTATCTGAAAGAGAGAAATAAGGATGGGAACAGAGACTTTTCAGGAAAGGGGGATTTCTAAATGGTAAGATAAAGGCCAAAATTACAAAGTGAATCAGAAGAAACTGGTCAAGGAGAGATTAGAGTTGAGGTGGGGATGAAAAAGGAGAGATTACATAATATACCCTGGAAAACTTGCCTGGGAAAGGAATTTCTCAGTGGCATAGTGACTTTAATGGCCAGTCATTGATCAAGTAAGATTCAAAGGTTTAGACCAGTGTTTCTCAACCTCAGCTACTTTAAAATGTGTGGATTTAAAATTCCCTGGGCAGGGAATTTTGGGAGTTGAAGTCCACATATCTTAAAGTTGCTAATACGGAATATTAGCAGGTGGTTCTCAACTTGCGACTACAATTGAACCCAGAATTTGTGTTGGTAAGTGAGACATATGTTAAGTGAATTTGCCCCTTTTTATGACCTTTCTTGCCACAGTTGTTAAGTGAATTACTGGCAGTTGTTAGGTTACTGACACGGTTGTTAAGTGAATCTGGCTTCCCTATTGATTTTTGTTAGAAGGTTGCAAAAGCTGATCCTATGATCCCAGGACACTGCACCCGTCATGAATGTGAGTCAGTTGCCAAGTGTCAGAATTTTGATCATGTGACCATGGGGATGCTGCAACTGTCATAAATGTGAGAAATGGTCAGAAGTCACTTTTTTCAGTGCCGTTGTAACTCTGAATGGTCACTAAACAAACTGTTGTAAATCAAAGACTACCTGTACTGGAAAAAATGAGAGTCATGGGCAACTTGGAATCTGACAGGGAATCTTCCACAGAAAGAAAAATGTGCAGATTGTAGTCAAAGCAATTAAAGTTAGTTTTAGGATCCAAAATCAGCTACAAGCCCAAAATAAAATAAATTGATTTCTTCCAGTTGAAGGAAAAACAGGGCTGGCTGTACTTCCTCAACAGAGAAACACTGTTCGTAGATCACATATTTCAGTTGTCAGTCAAAGAGTGACAATGTGTTGTCTGTAATTCAAGACACTAGAGAGATATTTAAGCATTTCTAGGATGTCATTTTCTGTTTCAATACAACTTTTGTCAGATAAGTTGGAGTCTGAGAGGCCAACATGGGTAGTTATGAAGAGATAAAATAGAGGTAACAATTTCAATAGAGATTTCAAAACTGAAGTCAAATTTATTAGCTGCATAGATTTACTGTAGTGTAGATAACACGAAGTATTTGTAAACATGTATTTTCCCTCTTAAAACAGTTATTTTCATTTAAGCTATATTGAAAGAATGTTTAACAATATGGTTGTTTCAAGCAGTTTCATATAAAATAAAACAGAATAATTCTATTTCTATATTGAAAAGAAATATATATTATATAAAATTTTAAATAATATTTCAAGGCAGGAAAGTGCATGACCGTGCATTATAAACCTTTTATATGTAAACTTGTACCATTAAATTAATGTGTGATACGTGAGATATATGGATATTTTGCTTTCATTTCCCAGAAACCAGCAAATATTCTAGTAATGGGAGAAGGTCCTGAAAGAGGAAGAGTTAAGATAGGTAAGTTTTATAATTACCCATATTTATAAATTTAATTGCACTAGAACTTAACAGAAATCCAAAGCAAAGCATCTCAATCACACTTACTTACAGATGGTATAGATAGTTGGGTCTAAAGGAAAGCTTATAGGAGAATGTGAGAAAGGAAAATGACTTTCCTGTATCCATTCAGGAGCCTCCATAATTCAGCTGAATGTGGTAAGAGGTGGGTAAGTAAGGTGTCAAATAATATGGGAGAAAGTCCCATGTTCTCAGGAGAACAGTAGCAACTTGTACTTCATTTAATTAGAGACAATACCATAAAAAGAATGCTGCGCTGGTATACGGAGTAAGTGCAAAAACAAACATTTAGAATTATTCAATTATTATAAAATATATAATAAGTTGCTAGGATAGGTTGTTATTACCTTTAAAATTTCTAGGCTACTTCCAAAACCCCCAGAAATATCTAATGGAAAGTGTGCCATGGGTAAAATGCAGATGAGAAACTTCTGTGTATATTAATAGCAGGAAACTGTTTGGAGTGATTGATGTATGAACCAGTTTTGAGGATATGAATAGAAGTAGATTCTGCTGAAGCAGTAGTAACAATGCATGTTAAAGACTGGTGTTACCAGTTTCTCTAGCTCTTGGAGCCACTTAAAGTTAGTAGTTAAAACTGGGTATACTTCTTCAGCTATGATTGAATGTTTAAAAGCTTGAAGCTCTTAACTCTGTGGGTAAAGTTTACTTTTTCTGCGGATCAGTACCAAAACCTGCCATATCTCAAAATTTGTTACTTGCCTATCTCTACAGAGCAATTTATAGCAGAATTGTACAAGCTGTTTACTTGAGATTAATTATTAGTTATCATGAGGCTTCACTCCAGACACCGCAATAGATCATTACTCTCCAGATATTGAACTGCATATTCATTAAGTTGCTTATTATGAAAATTCATAGACATTACATGACTACATTAGCTTTTTTATTAGTTTTAATGAAGTCATAATTGCACAGAAGATGTTTTTGCTGCAATACACAGAAATTCAAGTCTCTTTCTGTGTCTTTGGGATTTAAATTCAAGGCCTTTTCCCCATATTTTTGGAGAATGGAAATTTGGCCATTTGCTTCATGGTTTTGAGATCAATACTGATGAACTGGTTCACTCTGACCTGAGACTCAACCTGTTCCTGCTTTACCAGTTTCATTTTAATGTGTACTTTTATATTTATCATGCTTTAATTGATGATATCAATAGCAAAAAAGACAAAATTGCCATCGTGGCACAGAGGCTACTTTTTTCCTGCAAAAATGTTGTCATCAATCAGAATTGTGAATGTGAAAAAATCTCAATGTAATAATGTACTACATTCCATAATGAGATGTATGTAGCACCTAGGTTGAGACACAATTCACTTGTGTTTAGTATAGAACATAAATGCTTTTAAAGTCCCTTCTAACCAAATGTTGCCATTTTGAGGCCTAAAAACCATGCAAACCAAGGTGTAAACTGTAATTTATGCTTAACACCTGCTTACATCAGTCCTTACATCAGTCCTTTACTGCATCTCATTTACCTTGCTTTATTCAAAACTGCTTTTGTAAATTGTTCAGATAACTCATTTAGTGTAAAATAGAAAAGCCGGGTTTTTTTTCTGACAGATACTTATTAAATTGTACAAAACTACTCATATTTTGATTATATTGGTTTCCAGTGTGTTGCTCAGATCATTTCATGGTACTGGTTTTTTTAATCTATAAAGTTCCAGAGCTTTTGGTAACCAACAATTGTGTTACTTATAGAATTTATCAATCTTACCTAATAAATTTACAGACATTTCTAACATTCTCTTTTCACTTTGTCATTATGGGGTACTGAGTGTAGATTAATGAGAAAGAAATGAATGTCAACAAATGTAGAATCAGGCTGCAGCATAACAAAGTTAGCAAAAGTGAAGGGGGTTCTGAATACTTTCCGAATGCCCTGTAGGTGCTTCATTTGTGCTCTGCACGCCATGAAGCATATTTTTGGTCCTGATTGTCATGAATATTTGCCTTTTATGTATTTTATGCTAGATATTAAAATCTTTGACGGTATAAGTTTTATATCAAGTCTATTAATCTGAACAAGAATATAAATTTGTTTTAATAATGATGAAGTGTTTGGACTTGCACAAATCAGTTATATTTCTAATAGCTACCCAGAATATTTCTTTTGGCCTAAGTTATGACATATTTGATATAATATAGTAAATAATGGTGTTGTTCAAGTCAACACACGTGTTCAAAAGTACTCATACTCAGTTTATGATGTTAAGGGAGTGGCAATAGGGAATGTTTGTAGCTCCTAACACGGATGAAATGCATTTATAATTTAAAATTTTGAGTAATATGTTCAGGATTATCAGCAATGTTAGCATATTGTACATGCAAATACATTGTTTGGGATGTGGAGTAAGCCAAAAAAAGGGGGGGAGGGGAGAAATAAACTAGCTAATATCCTCAAACAGGTCCTATAGGAAAGTTCTAGATGTCAGCAATGTAAGATTGTGTACTTCACCTAGCTTTGAGATCAGTGAGGCATTGATAATATCAAGAATAGCAGTATAGAAGAATTTACTTTAGAAAAATTTTGTTTGGTGTAATACAGATACTGGTTATTTTGCAGCTGATATGGGTTTTGCAAGGCTATTCAATTCTCCTCTTAAGCCGCTGGCAGACCTTGACCCAGTTGTGGTGACATTTTGGTATAGAGCTCCAGAATTGTTACTTGGGGCAAGGCACTACACAAAGGCAATTGGTAAGTGTTTTGATTTAAAAAATATACCTCAATAATTATCAAAATTATCAATGTGCAGAATAAATGTAAGAGTTATAAAGCTATTAAATAGACCAATATTTTAAATATCTCCTCCATTTCAGAAATAAAATTCAGTTTTGTTAATTCATACAAACTAAAGCATGCCCTATTACAAGTACCACTATTTGAGGATGTTTCACAAATATTTTGAATGTGTTTCTATCAGACTTAATTGTTTTTTATTCCAAAAATATCCAACTGCCATTTCCTTTTCTGGTCTCCCGGTGTAAAAGATCCTGTGTTTTAGCTCATCTCTATCCAGAAACCTTCTGTATCTGCAGGAAAAAGAGCAAAATGTTCTTATCAAATCATTTCCTCTGCCTACCTTCGCCAATCTGGGTTGTCCAAATGGACTGCAACTTCCAGGTTCTCCAGCCAGCATGAGCCCTTGAGAATTCTGGGGTTGCAGTTCTGACAAATGTTGATGGTGCCTGGTTGAAGAAGATTTTGCTTTTGCCGATAATTTTAAAACCTTGCAGGAGTTGAACAGTTGAAGAATATACTATGTTGATGCAGCCATATAAAGTCATGTTCCTATAATGGTCACTTAGTAACCATCTTCTATTTTATCTATCAATTTTATTTGATTGACTGAACTGCCTGAACCCTGCAGAACCATTATCTACATTAATTACATCACTGCTTTCAGAGATCATCCTCCTTTGTTGTTAGCTATCTCATATATTTAATTCCTTTTTATTTCTCATTTCTTTTCCACACTCAGGGTTGCATTGTTTTCCTGGGAAAGAATAGCCCATGGGTATGATTCTCTGAGGGATTAATATACATAAAAAAAGATGTTCAGGAATGACATAGAGACAGCTAAACAGTGAGGGAACCTGTGGTACAGATAGTCTCTCTTACTTGGGTTGTAAAAATGCAGAATTCTGAATGTCCTTCAAGTCCTCCTATTTCTATGATATATTCAGGTTCTTCTATTTCTATTTCTATGATCTATTAATGAAGTCACTATACATGCTTTAGAGACACTGCCATTGAACTCTATTGCCTAGTGTATAAATGTATTAGTAATTCTTATTTCTAAAAGAAATATGTATGTGGGAAAAGAAGGACCAAACAATTTCTTTAAATTTTCCATCTCCATTCTGTCATGCTTCTTTTCTCATTGTCCATGCCCTTTTCAAAGTAACATTATTATAAATGTGATCCTGTGTACAGAATATTGAACTTAAATATGAGACATGGATTTTAAAAAGTAATTTTCCTCTATTCCAAATCCTGAATCCTAGTGGTTAAGAAATATTCTGTGTGTAAAATAGTCTTGTTTCACTAATCTTGTACTTTTAAGAAATGTTTAAATGTTCTTTGGAACAGGGAGAAAATGATCTTCCAGTTTCTCTGCTTGCCTTTCTTTCTTATTGGTTCTATGTTTCTAATCTTCCAAGATCAGAAAATAAATCATTTATAGGTCTACTCTGAACATTCTTATTATCTTTGCTGATCCAAAATGAATACCCCAGAGCTATGTCCATTACTGAAAAATATCCAAAGTTTGTCTGAAAAATACTAACTTTCTTTAAGCGGTTAGGGGAATGGGAACAGTTTAACTTACAGAGGTCTCATGTTCCCATTCAAGGTCATTAGAGACGAGTTGAGCTTGTTTTTTGGTAGAAGACTTAATATTAGACTTAATATTTCTTCCTTGCCTGTAGAGGAACTTACTTCCCTTCAGTGTTTTGAATTCAGCTGTGTGTTATTTAATTTCTCCTTTGTTGCATATTCCACTGTAACAGCCAACTTGCAATTGATAAAACATATGAGAATGGAAGAATAAGGTATAAACATTTGATATTACACATGTCAGACACAGGCAAGCAAATCCACTCATGAAAAGTCCAAGTCAACAACTTTATTGTATTCTATCTATATTACAAGATTCTCCCCAGACTGCTTGCCTTCCCAAGTGGGAACAACTAGATACGTTTCCATGGAACATGGAGGGGGGGGGACACAGACTTGTGCCTCTTGTGGCTACACAAAGACTCAAGGCTAGTTCGCTGTTTTATCCCTTCTCCCTGCCTGACTGGGAATTTCCTATCAGTACGGTAATATAACTCACATGTCAGCCCTTGGGTCACTTGAATATACTGTATTAATCTATTTCTTTTCCTAAATAAAATGGGAACATCGGGCCTGTCTTCTGATACCCAGAGAAATACTCATAATAAGTCCAACTATTGTACTTGATCAATGCATTCTCCAACACTGTCAGTTCTTATTGGAATAGGGAATTTATATCTTCTGATTCGCTGTTGTAGAAAGCAATCAAACATAGAGGACTTGAAGGACAGAAGGAAGAGCCACTATCAAGGAAACAGTCAGATACGTGGGCTTGAACCCAGACTAAGAAAACAATTTGGGGGGGGGGATGAACACACTGACCTACAACATATTGGCCCTACAACATAAAGCAGACTTAGGAACCAATGCCATATAGGTCAACACTATTTTTACTGTGACTATTATAATAACAGAATCTTGCAAGTCTGAATGTGTTTTTGCCAGCACCTAACTTTATTGTCTGAAGTTAGGAGCAGCTTGAGACATTTTCTCGAGTTATTTTCTTGGCCCAGAATCATGTGCTGCTCTTTTTGCTTACTTATTTAAAAGATACACCCACTAACCTTTGGGTGAGGTTTCAGAATTACATGCAGAAACAAGATAATACTTTAAATATGTAAAATGCAATCATTGGTGAGGGAAACGAAACAAAGATATAGAATGCAGATGAACAGGACTGAATTGGACAAAAACAGGTTAAAGCTAATTATCAAGCTTATTTTGGGAGGGTGAAGGTAACAAAGAATAATTTTTCACTAATGTTGAATTCTTCACAGTTTTGTCCTGCAGGGACTTTTCAAATACTTTTTATAGACTAATTAAAGGGGGAAAATCCCAGCTGAACTCTTGATTACCTGTTGCACATGTTTGCTATGGATAAGATTGCTTAGAGTGCCATGATCTAGACTTCATGACTCATGCAAGCCATTAATGTGAAGCAGCCACATGAGCCTAATAAATGATGTGACTGCTTCAACAGTTCAAAGAGAGATGCTTTGTGTACATTCCCAAAGCACCTCTTTACAACAAATTGTACAACCACAGTATCTTTATTTCCCTTCAGAGGACTTGTGATCAATTTCTTCAGCAGTCCTGTGAACGTTTCCTTCTTAATATACTTTCATTGTCAAGTTCTATCCAATTTGGTAAATTCAGAAATATTGTACAGCAATTGCTTTTCTTAGGTTTGGGGCTTGATCTGCAGATATTAATATTTAATCTGCACTTGACCATAGAGCTCACTGGTGATTTTGGATCAGTCACTCAATCTCAGCCCAACCTATCTTATCAGGTTACTGTTGTGAGGATGAAATTAGGGGAAACTTCATATAAAAAGCCTTGAACTGTTAGAGAGAGGTGAGATTTAAATCCTTCATTCAGATATTGGTTCATTGAATTCCTTTAACTTGTACTTAGTTGATCTGGCACATGGAAAATGTAGCATTTCAGAAAATATAATCTATTACTTCGAGTATCCAATTTAGCAATTTAAATTTGCCCTTCCAGAGTTCAAAATTAGATTTTGTTTTCACACTAATGATGCTGGTATGCAGTCTGATTTCTCCTCTATCTCCATCCTATGTCTATTAGCTGTAATGAATGTGCAGAATTCTATTTCATGAGATCCAGACACAGAAAGATTAAAAAGACACATTAGTAGATCTGTCCATCTAGATAATGGGCAGAAACAATTGAAGCCCAGAAAAATAAGAGGCCAAGAAACCAATCAAGAAGGTCAATATCCCCTCAGGGCTTTAAAAATGGGAAAGACAACCTCCATTTTGTCTTTGCTTTTGTCTTCAGTATTTTTTTTCCCATTAAGGCTGGCTGAAGACAAGGTAAGAGCAAAGCCTCTAGACAGCAATTACCAAGCTGGATACCAAGTGTTGCCTCTAGCAGCAGTTACCAAGTGAATTTGGACAGCAAGCTAACACCAGTGAAGCTGGTTGTAGTATAGATCCTGCTCTTGTGAGAAGCAGGTGGGGGAGGAAGAATTCAATTTATGTGCAAAAGGTAGGTGTTTTTACCCTTGAGTAGCATTAAACTTCTTGAACTCCACATGATTTTTGCTTCTTTAGCTCAACAACTATTTGGGGCTTGACAATTTTGTTTCATGGGCTGAGATCTAGGTTATGTGAATCTGTTTTGGAGTGTGTGCATTTGTTGAGATCCAAGATCTGATGGAGCAGCTAGCTCATTCCTTTCAGAAAATAACTGTCTATTCCTTTTTTTTTCTTTCAAACTTTCTTCTACTGGTAGGTCTTGAACCTAGATATAATAAAAATGGAAAGTTCTTAATGAGCCAGAGGGTCTCATTCTGGGAAAGGAATCTAGCTTTTAGCACAGATCTCCAGGCATCTAAAAGAACAGGGTTATAACTTGCATATTGGTAAACCAGCAATAGAAGGGGATTTTCCTGGAGTAACATGGCTGGTAGTATTCATAGTTGACTGTGCCAAAGAATTGTAGGGAGAATTGGCAGAACCGTGGAAGTTGGTTTTGGAGACCCATTGTGGGAATGCATGGGATTTCAAACGATCATATTTTTAATGCATTATTCTGACCCATTTATATAAACTGACTTTATAGGAAGTCTTCAAGCTGTTCATTATCCAGAAGATGGATACTGTGTAAGGACTTTTTTCTTCTTTGCAATTGATATAGATTGTAACTAGCTGGGAATAGTCCTGCTAGATTTTGTAAAATTAAAATAAATGTATTAGATTTTTCTAGTAGAATAAATGCATTTTATTTTCTCAGTTTGCTTTTCCAGCTGTCCTGGCTAATCCTTGACATGATTGTCATAGATTGCAACCTTAAATTGAAGCTTTGGAAGTCCTCTCTCTTAGCTCCTGTTGACTCCCTAGAGCTTTCTGTTCACAGTTTGACACCATCTGTTATCTCCAGCTAAGAGATGCTTAGCTTTGTCTTACCACAGACTCCAGATAATAAGCTGGCTAAGTTTGTGGATGATATCAAACAATTCAGAGCAGAAAATGTGATTATGAAAAGATTCTGAAGGGTCTCTTTAAACTGGGGTGAATGGTCACCCACATAGCAAATAGAGTCAATTTAATTAAATGTAAGGCAACATACATTGCCAAAACTCTTGTCTGAACATCCACCAATGTGGTCTGAATTGCCTAAAACTAAGAAAAGTATCTTGAAGCCACAACTTAGTAAAGATGTTGGGCAACAGCTAGGAAAAAAGGCAAATTCTGTACTAGGGATCATTAGGAAAGAGATTGCAAGTAAAACTGCTAATTTTGTAAAATAGGATAGGATAGGATAGGATAGGATAGGATAGACTAGGTTAGGATAGGATAGGATAGGATAGGATAGGATAGGATAGGATAGGATAGGATAGAATTCTTTATTGGCCAAGAGTGATTGGACACAGAAGGAATTTGTCTCCAGTGCATAAGCTCACAGTGTACATATAAACAGCAAGTAATAGGTCATAGATCATAAATCATAAAAAACCATAGGGGAAGATAATAGGAAAGAAGAGAAATTGAGAAAAGATGAGAAATTATATATCCCTCACTTGACACAACCCACATTTAACCTATCACAAGACCCTGACCTGATGTGACCCTCACCAGATGTGACCTCACTATCACAAGACCTACTGATCACACGAAGCCCTTATAAGCAGAAGAACACTGATAGTGGCATCCCCTAAATTCTGCTGAAGATGTTACCTAGCCTGGTAACTAAATGTTTGGAAACCAACCCACAAGCTTGAAGACTGAACCTCCACCCTCAGCTATCTTTGTGTATAGTTGTTTTGGTATGCAATGCTCTATAGCAGCATCTTCAGGGGAGAAGTGGAAATAGATTATGTCCAGGATGTGAGGGGTCTGTAGATATTTTCTCAGCCTTCTTTCTGGTTTGTGCAGTATACAGATCTTCAATGGAAGGCAGGCTGGGGGTGATTGTTTTTTCTGCAGTCCTGTAGAAGTCTGTACCTGTCTTGTTTGGTTGCTGTGCCAAACCAGACAGTTATTGAGGTACAAATGACAGACTCAATAATTCCTCTGTAGAACTGTATCAGCAGATCATTGGGCAATCTGAGTTTTCTGAATTGACGCAGGCATTAATTTCAATGGCTTTAAAAGGGTCAATCAAATGCAATTAATCTTGAAGATTCATTGCTATTAGGGATGTGAGACACTCACTGATTCAGGATGTGTAAAATTCACTGAGGCAGGAGTAGAACTTAGTGTTTTCTTCTGAGCTATGAACCTTTCCCAGACTTATGCTATTCTGGGAAAATTGGAGGCAGTTTGTGGTGTTTGTGGTGTTCTTGAGATGGTCCAGCCCCCAAACAGGATTGTTTCTCCAAAATGATGCAGGAGGCTGACGACTCTAAGTGAAATAGGATGGGCACTACACAACATTTTTTATCTGTTTTATTTTATTCTATTCTGTCTACTCTTTCATGCAAAGGGATCTGTAATAAATATAAATTTCTATATAAAAATATGGTAATACTTTACTCATTTGAAGTACAGTAGATCCTCAAGTGAAATTTATGCATGGTTTGTTCATCTTGTTATAACATCACTATTTCATTTTTTGTCTGACTGTTATACACCTACTGTGACAAATAGTTATATGTAGTATTTTATTCTCTAAAAAGCTATTTAGATTTTATATCTTATTTTGTTTCCTAGATATATGGGCTATTGGCTGTATATTTGCTGAGCTATTGACGTCAGAACCTATATTTCACTGTCGTCAGGAAGACATCAAAACAAGCAATCCTTTCCATCATGATCAGCTTGATCGCATATTTAGTGTCATGGGATTCCCTGCAGGTGATTCAGTGACCCTTAAAACATTATAAGAAATCTTTGACCTGAATTGTTTTCAATAAATTGATTTTTCTTCCTATGCATGTATTCCATTCAAATACAATTTTATTATGACTTTTGATCAGCAAATGTATATGCTTGTACAGGTAGTCCTCGACCTAGGATCACAACTGAGCCCAAAATTTCCATTGCTAAAGAAGACAGTTGTTAAATTAGTTTTGTTCCATTTTATGACCTTTCTTGCCACAGTTATTAAGTGAATCACTGCAATTGTTGAGTTAGTAACATAGTTGTTCAGTGAATCTGGCTTCCCCATTGACTTTGCTTGTCAGAAGCTCACATGACCCAAGGACACTGCAACCGTCGTAAATCCATGCCAGTTGCCAAGCATCTGGATTTTTATCACATGATCATGGGATGCTACAACAGTTGTAAGTGTGAAAAACTGTCATAAGTCACTTTTTTCAGTGCCACTGTAACTTTGAACAGTCATTAAACGAAAGGTTGTAAGTGGAGTTACTGTAGAATATAGGATAGACTGTGCCCAGTATTTTATCTTGTGCTTCTTTAATATTTTCCAAATTTTTACTTTACAAAGATAAAGACTGGGAAGACATTAGGAAAATGCCAGAATATCCTACACTTCAAAAAGATTTCAGAAGAACAACGTAAGTTACATATCTCTGGTCATTATGCTTTAAATATATAATTATCAGTATATAGTTTTTATTATTTTTATTTGGGAGATTTGGTAGTAGAAAGAGGCATGATGTAGACTTGGACATAAAGTTTCACCCTTCTCTGTCTTTCTTTTCATGAAAGGATCATGATTGTTTGTAACAAATTCTTCCTTTGTTGGGATGAATTTCAGAAACACATTTGTCAAACTTAAATGGTAGAAAATGGGATAAATTCAGTATGACCAAGAAACTAATTTGATTTAGAGAGTATGTGAAATCTCAGTTGTCTTTTCCTTATAGAAAGAGGGAGTATGTCATACTGAGACTTTTATTACAACACATAACTCTAAATCATGAGTTGTATCTGAACACGGCTACTATATATAGGTACCCTCACTTACCAGTTGCAGCTGAGACTGGCAACTAAGCAACACAGTCATATTAAAGTAAAACATCACCTTACCACGCCCAGCTTATAATGTCAGTTAAGCATGTGACATAACCATTGACTGCTTGTTTAATGCCAGCTTTGAAAGCTGGAAATAGCAATTACTTGTCTGTAGGATGCTGCAACCATCATAAACATGCATCAGTTACCAAGTGCCCAAATGATAATCACACGACTGCAGGATTGCTGCAATGGTCACATGTTCAAGGACCACTGATAAATCTCCTTTTTAGGGCTGTTGTAGCTTCAAATGGTTGCTGAACAAGGCATCAGTAAGCAAGGATTGTATTTTTAAATTCCATCTTGAGGCTTAAAATACAAGTGTTTTCTATGTCCCAGTTAGATTATTATCATTTGATACACAGGTTGCCCTTCAGATACTTTAGAAGAAATGGGTAGCCTTCTGTCATGTAAGGTCATTTTTTTTCCCCTGGAATTTGAGGGTCACCAGCCACAGTCCAGGTGCAAATTAGTGGCTTATTAAGGCAGATACCTGCTATTAACTACGGTACCTGCATCCCCATGAATAAATGATCAACCAAAGGATTTGTGATCAGTATCAAAGCCAAGCTTAGGTTGACTTTAAAGATTCTTTCCTTTAAAGATTTTCCCCCCCAGTAATCTAGTTTAATGGATAATTTTTAGTTGTTGTGTTTAGAAGTTGAGAATCAGGTCCTAACAGGAACAGGAACCCTAACAGGGACAGTAAATTATATCAGTATTGAGAGAGTTGCTGTTGTTTTCAGACTCATGTGAACATGTAGCAACTTGTGCTCTTCACATAAGTTACTCATTTTCAGTTCCCATCATCTTTAACATTTTAAGAATCACAGATGCTGATTATTAGGCTATGTGCCTGGCAAATAAAATCTTCATTGGATGCCCTTCTCCAGATATTCTACTGCCTCTTGGAATTTGGGTTGATGAATAGAACAAAGGTTCAGATTATCACATTTCATTCCTTAACATGGACAATCCTATTATTTTATGTAGTACTACCATATCTGGTCTCTAAAATCTGCACTTCTTTCTGTATCTCCTTGCAGCTGTTCTGATGGAATTTTGCAACCCATATACGATAGTCCAAATCTTATCTTACTTTTCTTGAGCATTCGATAAGATTTCATCTGCATTTTTAGAATATTTGCTTCTATTTTAATTTTAATTTTTTATTTCATTAACTTTGGTGAGGGGAGAAGATCTGTACAACTCAATGGACACAAGGTAGTCATGGAATATAGTGGTACCTTCAAAACTGATTGATTTTATTGGGCATTAGCTTTCTTGCAACTCACGTCCACAGATCCATAGTGTGGGCCTGCATTCTGTGGATCTGATGAAGTGAGCTGCTATTCACAAAAGATTATGTCCCAATCAAGTTGATTAGTCTTGAAGGTGCTATCAGACTCCATATCTATTTTATTACCTTGACTTCTACTGCCTATTGCTTTTATGCTTTAATTAAGTTTTCACATTAGTTTTATTAGTCATTTCAGATTTTGTTAAGGAGTATAATTGAAGTATATATGTGCAGACACACATTACGATACATTAGAGAAACCTAGATTAGTGTATTTTTATAACTGCTTTAAATATTCCACAGTAGAGCCTATTTCAAGATTAGTTTTATCTATTGTTCAGATAAAATGGGATTGGCACCTGTATATTAATAAAAACTGCCACTGCTATCTGCATGTGGTTCGTTGTATGCACCAGGACATAAAAGCTTATGAAATGTAATTAACATATAGTAAAACTTTTTTTAAAATTTTTGATGCTGCCTTGCTCTTTTGATTTTGTTCTCTGTTTCTTTTTTCAGATACGCCAATAGTAGCCTCCTCAAATACATGGAGAAACACAAAGTCAAGCCTGATAGCAAAGTATTTCTTTTGGTAAGTGACATGGAAGCTTTATTTTTCTCTTTAAATAAGTTACATTCTTAGTATCAAATAGCTGTAGAAGAAAACTTTGTTGCTGCTGAAGTCATATTTTGCTTTGTAAAGTTAACAGCGCAGTCTTTTAGATTTCTGCACAGAAGTAAGCCCCATTCAGAGAGGTTTACTCTCAGGGAAAGGATAAGATGTCACCCTTATTTTGGCAGAAACTGAGTTTTTTAATGTACAGATCTAAAATATAATACATAAAAAAAAACTAAATTCTTTTTAGTGGCCAGTTCTCCTAGTAATTTTAATATTATTTCAAGTTTTACCAACACTGACATTAATAATTCATGTATTAACTAATTTGTTAGGTTTATAGCTCCTCTTTTCTCCAGAAATTAAGAATTAGATTCAATTCGATGAGATGAGATGAGATGAGATTAGATTGCCTGCCAGAATTGTTTCCCCTTCTCGTGCTGGACTATGATCAATATAAAGGAGACCTCTATATTTTATGTTTTCGAATTTTTATAACTATATGATCTGTATTTTCTGTACATAGAATCCCATAAATTTATTTGCATTTGTTTCATTTTAGTATTATTGGTCATGCATGTCATTGAGTTTTACTGAGAAATTCATATGAGCTGGCTTCTTTGCAGCTTCAAAAACTTCTGACTATGGATCCGACTAAAAGAATTACCTCAGAGCAAGCTATGCAGGATCCTTACTTCCAGGAAGACCCATTGCCTACATCAGAGTATGTTTTTTTTCCTGTTCTTTGGAATATTATTTATTTTGTAATATTATTTACTCTCCAAATAACTCTCTAAAGTTATAAAAATTAAAATAGTAGCCATAATGTGTATTTGATTATGTCTCTGAAATATCTATTATATAAGATAAAAGATTTGTCTTTTATAATGGAGTCCACATTTGGATTTAAAGTGGCATATCCAGGGTTCCATTCTTAGAGTAGTGTGCATGGGAAGGACATTTATATTTAAACTGAATTGAATGTAGAAATAAACAGAATATACTCCAGTCATTTATAAACATTTCTTTGCTAGTGAAAGATTTCATTGCAATTTGCAGCCTCTGAGGAAATTCTGCAGAGGTGATATATGCCTTGCATGACATTATTATCAGCTTTTTCTTAGGTTTTTGTTTTGTTTTTTTGCAACTTTGCTTCAATTTCTATGCTCTTTTACTGAGTATTAAATCCTTTTAATATATAAAACTTCATATTGAGTAAACATGGAATGGGCTGCACTGTAAATTACTTAAATTTTATCCTAAAAGATGAGTACACTAGATCTGTTTTGTTCATTGAGGTGACAAAGGCTTATTGATGGGCAAAAAACATTATTTGCTAAATCCTTTTTAAGCAGCAGTAATGCTAAAATTATGTTAGGAACACTTTTTGAAATGAATGCTAAATTAGATAGAAACTTCAAACCAATAATTTTTCTTATGCTACACATACCTAGTGTTTTTCAACTGATTTGAAATGAAGACTAATATAGAGCCATATAAAATAATTATAGCCTTTCTATTTTGAAAGAATTATAAACAAAATGCCATGAGCTACCATCTTGTTACCAATACCTAATTGTTAGTGCTTTTGGCTGATGGTTTTTGAAGCAATTGGGAAAAATCAGTACTTTTTCATAATGAATTACTGTTGATTTACTGCCCATATTTTCTGATGTATATAAATTGCTACAACAAAAACAGTTGAATTAAATTCTTTTTTTTTAGCTATCTTGTTTGTTGCTGCAAAATATTAGAAAAGTACAGGCAGTCCACAAATTATGACCAGTTGCTTAATGAGCGGTCAAAGTTACAACAAACTTCAAAAAAGTTACTTATAACCTGTTCTCCAAGTTATGACTGTTACACCCCCACATTCCCATAGTCAGGTAATCACATTTGAGGTGCTTAGCAACTGGGGCCTTTTCCAAGCCTCTGGAGCCCTGATCGGGCTGCAGGGGGGGCCCACAAAATCGCTTCGCGGCCATGGATCTGGTCTCTAGAGGCTTGGAAAAGACCTCCGGAGCCCGGATCATGCCGCGGGGGGTATGCAAAATTGCTCCGTGGCCATGGATCCCTTCTCCGGAGGTTTGGAAAAGGCCCCTGGAGCCTGGATCGGGCCACTTGGTGGGGCCACAAAATCGCTCCGTGGCCATGGATCAGGTCTCCAGAGGCTTGAAAAAGGCAAGAAGTCCCCCCAACCTCCGTTCCTGGCACAAACAGTTAGGAAAACCCCTCCAAGGCTTTGATCAGGCCCTTGGAAGTTCCATTCCGGGGGGGCAGCAGCCATTTGCACCAGGAACGGAGGTTGGGGGGATTTCTGCATGCCTCTGGAGGCTGGATCCAGCCTTCGGAGGACTGCTCTAAGCTTCTGTTGCCTGGAACGGAGCTTCCAAGGGTCTGATCCAAGCCTCCAAAGGCATGCTTGGAGGAAGGCTCCAGGGACAACGGGGTCACTTTCTTCCCCAGCGCAGCGAGCTCTGGCGGGCTGGACATGGGTGCGAGGAGCCTGGCCTTCTCCCTCAATTGAAGGCTTCAGGCTTGCTCTCAGGCAGAAAGGAGTTGGGGGCAGGAGCAGGAGACAGGCACCTTTTGCATAGAGAATGAAAGTCTCTGAGGTCCATGATTTGGCGCAACTTCAAACACTCACGCAAGATCACAGACTCCAGAAACTTCCATTCTCGGTGCAAAAAACACTTCCAAGCCGACTCTCCTCTCCTTCAAAGGGAAAGAAACTGCAGCAGAGAGGATTTTTGTAAGGTAAGTGAGTCTGGCATGGCAGGAAGGGAGGGGGAAGCAGTTGTGAGAAGTGTGTGTGGGGGAAATAGGGTGAATGTTGCAGTGCCACTCAAGTCGCTCATAAGGGCGAACGACTGCGTGGTGCTGCAATATTCATAATTTCAGGACTTGCTCGTAAACATTAGGGGGTGCTCATCACGTAACTTCGAACAAGCGTTAAGTGAACGCTTGTAACTCGAGGATTACCTGTAATCCCATCCAATTTCTGATATATCATCCATCAAGACAACCAATTTCAATATCACATTCCAACCAAAAGTGGAGGCAGAAAACTAAGCATTTTTCATTGTCTTCTCTGCTGTAGAACAGAATGTAAGTTTGGATTCTCAGATTGATAAGGGGGTCTATTAGCTATTTTCAAAATAATCAACAGGCTCAGTCCGACCCGTCTTCCGGTCACAAAAGAAGGAGCACATGGAAAAGAAGCAGAACCTTCCCATCTTAATTTGTCTGTATATACTGTATTTGAAAGTAGAGTAGCAGTGGAATTCTTTTGTTTTTATTAGTAAATAAATCTTACTCAATTGCTCTAGCCAGCTTCCAATACAGGCTGATACTATAGATCTGACATGAAAATTAAAATGGACTTCACTCTGTTCTAGTTCTAACATGTCTTAATATTTCCTCCACTTGCATTTCAGGTAACACCCTATGCATATCATTACTCTACAACTCTACACTTATTGTTAAATTGGAGGGCCTGATTTAGCTTTGTGAGAGGGAAGAAGTCTTTAAGAGGAATAGTGACAAACACATGGATTATGTTATACATAACTGCCATGGCATTTTAACAGTATTATCACAATCAACATTTTGTAATGGATCTATCAATCCCTTATAGCAACATTCTAACACAGACATGTCAAACACACGGCCCGGGGACCGGATGTGGCCCACGAAGCCATCCTGGAAACAGTGAGGGAATGGCCCCCGCTGCCTTGGCCCTGGCCCAGGCTGGCCGGGAGCCAATGTACAATTTTGTGGTGGCCATCTATGCTGAAACGCATTCAGTCTTAGCTCCACAAGGCCGTCTAGAAACAGCGAGGAACCAGCCCCTGCCATGTCGGCCCCGCCCCCTGGGTGCATGCTGGGGAGGTGTCACCCTTTGTGAGGAATGAAGAAATGGACCATGCCTTGGCGCTTGCCCCGGTCCCACCCCCTTCTGCCAGAGACCCTCAGATCTGTCCCACTCCTGCCCAGGCCCCCACAGGCACCCTTGACGCAAACGATGTAGAGCTGGCCTTGCCCACCCAGTAGGCCACACCCACTCCATCCACGCCCACCCAGTAGGCCACACCCACCCTGGCCACACCCACCTGCCCCCCCAAGGGCAACCGCAATGCTGATGCGGCCCTCAATGAAATTGAGTTTGACACCCCTGTTCTAACAGATCTTCCATCACTGCAGATTTACAGCAGGCATCAGTTTAAAACTGATGGCAGAATAATTTGTCCATGACAATACAATCACATTGGATCCCTCACCATCAGTTCCACCTATCAAATTCCGTGTGTCCATGTTGTAAGCATGGAACCATATTCCAATTGGAGGAGATCTATAGTTGTCACAGAGAGTGTGAAATTCTGAGTTGCTTTTAACATGTACAATGAAATAGCCTAAAATAAGGAGACTAAAATAATTCAACATCAATCTGAAATCACCATGACTAGTTCAGGAAGAAAGACATTAGTGATTACCAGTCATAGTTTGTGTGAATATGTCCAGTGTGTAACAACATATTGACCATATTAAAATAGAAGAAAATGTTTTTCATTTCATCACATTTCTGCTAGAGATGTCCAAAATTTTATTTGATCTCTGATATGTTTTTAAATGAATGTAAGCTAACATATACTGGTGCAATTCCACTGTATTCTTCTGTTCCAGTGTTTTTGCTGGTTGCCAGATTCCGTACCCCAAACGAGAATTTCTTAATGAAGATGAACCCGAGGAAAAGGGCGATAAGGTATAGTTCATAGACCATGTTACCATTAGTAAAAAAACTAATGTTGTTTCTGAGGGGGAAGGCTTACAGAACATCAAAAGTGTACTCTAACCAGGATTTCTGATCAATATGATTGCCATGAGACATGTTGATAGGTGATAATTGCGAGAAATTCGATTGTTTAAAACTGAATAATCTTTAGTAAGTTTAGATAATGGAAGTAACAAAGCTGGAATAAAAAAAGGAAAAGGTCTTAAACCACGGGTGTCAAACTCGCCACGTCATGTGACGTGTTGCGACGTATCGCAACTTTTTTCACATTGCTAGAGCTGGGGTGGGCGCGGCTTCCACATGATGCAACCGGGCCATGGGCCGGCAGTTTGACACCCCTGTCTTAAACCGATATATCCTAATAATGTGTTTAAAAAGTCATCAATTGGCAAGAAATATTCTGATAGGGTTATAGTGATGCTGTGTGAGTAGGAGGAGGATAGAGGAAGGGAATTGCTCAGTGGCAAAAGATCATGCATTCTGAAGGCTCCAGGTGCAGTCCTTGATATCTCTCACTAAAAAGGCTTGGGTACCAAGCGCCTTTGACCCTGAACAACTACTGCTATTCAGTATAGGTAATCTAGATGGAAAGTGCCTGTTGATGTACAACAATGTTCCATGTTCCTTTAGTAACAGAGAAAAAAATAAATTAGAAACTTCAAGAAGAACCTCCTACTACCAAAGATCAAAATTGTGGAAGAAAGCCAAAAGTCTGTTAAGAATGAGAATAAAAGTTGCAGGACATGAAATCTATATATATATAAATAAAAATGTAAATGTTCGTTTGTTCAAAATCTTAAATCTCCGAAGGTTCTTCACTGATTGCTTTGAAATTTTGACACAACGTTGGATTCGAATACGCGCGTGTTTTTATATACCTACTATTATATAGATGTCACACCTGTGACAGGTAAAAACACGCTACGATTTTACGATTCCATTTCAATGTATCCGATTCAGTCTAACATTCAAAGCGAGGCAGTCACATACATTCCTCATTCCTCGCATTCCTATGATTCCAACGGATATGCCATTTCAATTTAAGAGATTGCAATTCCCAATTCGATTGGCGTTTGCAATCACCATCAACAAAGCTCAGGGCCAATCTTTAGAATTGTGCGGTTTAGATCTAGACACGGATTGCTTCTCACATGGACAATTATATGTTGCGTGTTCTAGAGTCAGCAAACCAGACAATCTCTATATCTGCACAGACAATGGAACAACAAAAAATATTGTATACCCACAGGCATTGTGAAATTAAACATATTACAAACGTGCGCTTTCTCTTTTCTTTCTTTTCCATTTAACCAGACTGAGCCACAGCAACACGTGGCCGGGTACAGCTAGTATTCTAATAAATGAGCTATATTTACCTTTGTTCCCCTTAAATAATATTTCATACATATGTTTTTATTCATTTATTCATTCAGGTCTCAACAAGTGACCCAGGGTAGCAAACAAAATTAAAATAAAATAAAAACAATTACAAGAATTAAATTAGAAAGCAACCAAGAACAGTATCACTAGTGCAACCAAGAAGCAGACTCCTGTTTTGATTCTGAGACTTAAGAAAAAGAATTTTCCTTGAGTGGAGCTTGATTCCTGCTGATTGCACAGGCTTAGCCATAAACTTTTCTCAGCAACAATAAAATATTTATTAATTGCTTTTAGTCTAGGAGTTACCGTAGGTGCGGAGATATATATAGATATCAATATCTTTACCTCTGGTTTTTGCTCCACTTTGTTTTTCAGAATTGCCATTTTCTGTGACATTAAGCCTGCTAAATTCCAAAATAGATTGTAAAGAAGTTTAGTTGTTGCAGATGTTAACTAATGGCTCCAGCTGGTTAAATTTCAACCAATTACATTCCATCAGCTATTTTGTCCTGGGGCATCATCACGATCATATTCCTTTGACTAATGCACAATTGCAGATTATAGTTCTAACTGGCTTGTCCAATAGGACAGTATCATTCCTGAATATTGTGCCATCTACTATAGTAAAAGTATAAATATGGCTTTAATTGTAATTCTTGGCAGTGATAACAGTTGTATAATTAATGGGAGGATTTTTATTTGGTTTGTGTTCTCCTTTTTTCATCTTGCAGTGAAAGTTCTTTATTGCATTGAGACACATGGAAAAAAAACATACTGACTTCAAAGCCTTTTGTTTAAAAGGGTTGTTTGGCCATTATTGTACCTCAACATTTAATTGCACTTACTTTGCTGAAAGTTTATAGTCAAAGTCTATAAACATTGGGATCAAATGTTAAAAGGATAATCTAGTTTGACTCTTAAGATTTGTGTAAGATTTGTTGTTATGTTGCCATCTTTTCTTGTCCTCAGACTAGTACAAGCTTTCTGCTGCTGCTTTATTATTCTGTTCACTGGAGTACTTTCTCTGTCTTTGACCTGACTTGGAAAATTTATGTCCCAATTAGCTATACCCTGCTCTTTTTATAATTAATTGAAATATTCATTCCTTTCCTCTCTATATATTTGTTTTCCATGATTGTCTCCAGGAATTCTGATACTGAAACATACATTTTGAGTAATATGGATTTCAATTACTATGAATCAACCAAAGGCATAGATGAAAGTATAAGAGGCAAGCACTTAAGCTGTAACCATCTCATCTCAAGATTTGAGATAAGGGTCTTTGCAGCTTTTATGGAAATTTTATATTCCTTTTTTTTCTCTGTTACTTTTGTTACTATTGGGTTAGGGTTTTAAGAAGAAAATCTCTTTTCATTTCAAGATTTATAGACTATATATATTTATAAATAGCTCAAGGTGGCAAACACAACCAACACATCTTTCTCTTCCTGTTTTCCACACAACAATCCTATGAGATGAGTTGGGCTGAGAGTGAGTAACTGGCCCAAGATCAGCCAGCTAGTTTTCATGGCTAAGGCAGGACTTGAACTCACCATATCCAGCTTTCTAGCCTAGTGTCTTTACCACTGGACCAAACTGGCTGTCTTTTTAAAAGAATTGATGGAAGTAGATGTGAAAGTAGAAAGCAAAGCAGTGTACATCGAAAAAAGCTATAGTTTGCCGTCTTTCCTCTAAAAAAATGAACATGTTCAAACATACCATTATTTCAAGCAAAGCCTATTACTGTATATATAGAATAGTCAGAAGAAATTGGTGAGGCAGTGAAGGAGCCTGTACTCATTTATGAGGCACTAGTGTGTCACACATACATTAACTCTTTTTTTTAAAAAAAAAGATGGCCACTGTAATATGTTTAAAAGGCATTCAAACAATGGCTGAATAAATGGAAACCACCTACCAAAAGAGAGGGAATTCAATATGGTATTTAAACGATAACCTTGTTTATCATTATTCCATGATTTTACTAAGGAACCTATATAGTCCTTGGCTCAGTTGGAGACCTGATATCAGATGGGCACGAGAAGGTCAGGCTTATATAAAAGGTTCATAGCTCAGTGAAGTTTAGTCTTTCTCATCCCAGTACAGATGTTCCTATCTCCTTAGGCTCTCTAAAAGTCGTATCACCCTTATTGACCCAGTGTACTGCTGTGTACATTTCTAGGAGGACTCAGGAATAATAACTACCCTAAGATAGTAATCTCAGCTCTCTCTCATTCCCTTGGATTTGATCTAGAATCAACAGCAGCAGAACCAACATCAGCAACAAACTGGACCTCAGCAGCAGCAAACAGCACCTCAGCAGCAGCAACCACAGCCGCAAGCAGCACCTCAACAGCAAAACAGCACCCAGACCAACGGAACTGCGGGGGGTGGTGGGGCAGGAGGTGGTGGGACTGGGGCAGGCCTCCAGCACAGCCAGGACTCCAGCCTCAACCAGGTGCCTCCAAACAAGAAACCACGCCTTGGGCCTTCAGGCACGAATTCAGGCGGGCCTGTCATGCCTTCAGACTATCAAGTATGTTCCTTTTTCCCGGTCTTTATATCTTCTTTGATTTCTTTTCAAGGATTGAGGGGAAACGAGTAAGGAAATGCTACTATAGGATGGCTTGTCCTAGAATTAGAATGTTTTTTATGGGCCCAGCTCAATTTATGAATGTGTGTATGGATGAAGGCTCATATTCCTGCATAAGAAATAATTTATTAGCACTTTTCAAGGTAAATCTTGTTCAAGACAGTTTTCAAAGTTTGAGATACAGGTATGGTTAATTAAAACAATACCCTTTGTTTTATTAGAAGATAGATCCAGTTCAGAGAGGTGAAGCTTTTTGCATTTCTTTTGCTGATAATACTATAAGGTTTCACAAGCAAAGTTTATTGTAAAGTGCTGTAAATATTCACAGATAGTTACAGGTATCAAAGAGACAGTAATTCTATATCCTTCCTCACCCAGCTATTTGATCGGTAAAGATGTTGGACCATTTTCCATAATTCTTAACTAGCATGGAGCATAATGACTGGAAATGTGCTGTTATTATTAAATACATTGAAATATAATGCCTGTGGAAAGTAAGTTGCTATATCCAAATTCATAATCTTGAGTGCAGGAGTCTGGTCATTACATGTTGAAGATAATCATCTCTGTAGTTAGATGCATAATATTTTCTGCCTGTTCCACTGGGCTCTGTGCATTATCTCTAGCACATTTATGACTTCATCTGGCCATGGTAACTGCAACAACAGTCATACGATACCTTCATTTTTACAAAATTAAGATACATTAGCTGTCACAAATAATAGCATTTGTGTATATGTGCATGTATTTTCATTAAATGGTTTTTAGAAAGTTAATACTGAAGTATCAATAAATATATTCAGGCCTATCAAGTTTTGGCATCAAGCTGTTTTCTTATATTATGCATGGAAGGTTATGAATCCCTTTCTTCATTCCCATTTTCTAAATTTTCTAAATGCAAATTAGACACGGCTGCTTTCATTATATTTACTATATCCAGCTACTTTCCTCTTTGAAAGAAAGTATCTCTCAATGAACAAACCATCTTTATTTTATTTGTTTAATGTAAATTGTTACGTAGACAATTTGTTTTCTATATTTAAGCATACTCATACCAAATAAGCTTTCCAATTGGCATTTTATCGAATGGAAATCTTTCCCCATAATTAACATGCTTGAAACATGGCTAAACTTGCTTGTTTATTGATACTGCAAACACACAACATATAGGATGGCTACTAAAACTTTGAACAAATTTTGGATGGTAATCTGGGGGCCATTCCCCAACTTTGTGGGAATGTATGCAAGCCATAGATATGCACCTCTGCCTTATACCATGATGTTGCTTCAGAGAGCTAGCTGTTTAAAAGTGCAGCTCAGAATGTAATCCCATCTTAATCCAGAATGATTGTGGACTTTTAGCCCAAGACCTGGTTAGCTAGTTTGCATGGAAACAGTAAAATATTAGTGTCTCTTCATGTAAGTCTGTGTAAGAAGATGTGCGTTTGAGGCTCTAGTTATACATAGATTTCAAGAAGAAGTTCACTAGTATCTTGTTTACCCTCACTATCAAATCCAGTTTTATGAACTCATCTTCAAAGATTATAGCATATATTAGATTAATATTAGGATAATGTTAGCAACCTGCTTTTAGTTATTTAACCTATTCTATTTCCAATAGCTAAATATTCCATAGACCAGGGTTAGGCAACCTTGGCTCTTTTATGACTTGTGGACTTCAACTCCCAGAATTCCTGAGCCAGCATGGCTCAGCTTGGAAAGCTCTCCCTTTTCCCTCAGCATGGCTGGCTCAGGAATTCTGGGAGTTGAAGTCCACGAGTCATAAAAGAGCCAAGGTTGCCTACCCCTGCCATAGACAAAGCAGAAGTTACGAAGATGAGAAAAGACGGACAGGCCAGTCTCATTATTGTACTTAAACCCATCCAAAGGAAATGTGAGGGAGCTTGCTGCAATAATTCTTTATGGCCATCCTTCACCCCTTCTTTTATGATACAGTTCTGCTTCATAAAAATGTTTATTTTTTTTGCTTTTTTTTTTTGTAGCACTCCAGTTCACGCCTGAGTTACCAAAGCAACATTCAGGGATCTTCTCAATCCCAGAATACAATGGGCTATTCAACATCATCTCAGCAGAGTTCTCAGTACCATCCGTCCCACCAATCTCACCGGTACTAAAGAGACTTCTTCATAAAGGGTGTTAGAAAGGAATGAACTAACAATGAGTGGACTCCAGCAATATGAAGTTCATAACCATGAGAAGAACCAAAAAATGCAAATTGTGATGCAGATTTTAGACTTGCAAACTTTTTATTTACTAATTATTTTAAGACAAGAGACGGTTTTTATTCTCTTTTTTTTGCCATAAAGGAGATTCTTGTGAAGTTTCCCTTCAGCTTGCTTTCGCATGTGTTCCATTGTGGTTATACTCGATCTGATCTGAACCAAGCACTTAAACTTCTTTAACCTATGGAATTGTTGAAGGATTCCTGGTGCACCTTTCTCGTGTTGTAGTAATTGCCATAAATCTAACCTTTTCCAAATCCTTTTACCAGGATTTTAAATTTTTGGAATCTTGAACTCCTGGGCTTTTCAAGCTTGTATATAGTTAATTTTTTTACTAGGCAGACCAGTTTAGCTATACAGGTATAATGCACCTTTTAAAAGCACTATGTTATTTTCACAGGATATTACTCTTTTGCTCATGGATGTCAAGAACAGCAGATTTTACTATTCCAGAGTATTTTATTATCTTTTTAGTAGTCTAATTTTCAGATGAGATATTTAAAAAAAAAGAAGAAAAGAAAAATATACAACCCAAGTCTCTGCAGCAGCTATTACATGTTATGTGTTTGGATTGAACACCAAACAGAAGATTATGAATGTTCCTTTTACCATTCAGATGAGCATCCCATAGATGATTGGTCATTTTCTTCCAAGTGAATTGACTGAAGCTTTTGCTTTATATTAAGGTATGGAAGCAAAGCAGAAGACATCAACTTTTGTGGCTCCAGTAGAACAAATGTGTCTATAGTGTCTTCTTTAGTGATTATCTGTTACCTGCAGTGGTGTCTTGGCTCTGTGTTGAATCTCTACAATTGGGGTTCAGCATTAATGGGATAAAGGGCAAAGGAGGCTTTGCCCCTCCTTTGGGGAGGCTGGGTGGAGGGACGAAGTGTACTCTAATATATATGTGCATCTTTCATTTGTTTCTTACCTAGACTTTGATTTTGAAACTTGCAGCAGAAACAAACTAAATGTGCTGTGGCACCTTAAAAGACTAATAATTTTGTTCTTGCATTCGTATCTGCCCAGTTGCAGAAGACTTGCAATCATGAACCTTGAGAAGCCATTATTGTCATTGCTGTTATTCCTTCATTATCCAGTTGAAGCAGATCAAATACTGAAAAAGGAGTAGTCGAACAATGTATTGAAGTTGCTTGGCCTTCTCATGTACAAAATGCATCTGATGTTGTTGTGTCACTGCGGTGATTGATCCAGATTAGATGTGGTAGATAAGATATGCTATATTGAAATGCTTTTTAATCCTAATCCATGCTGTCCTTCCAGTGTTTTGGACTACAATCCTTGCCATTGGCTGTGCTAGCTCAAGCTGATTAAGAATGAAAGTTCAGGACATCTTGAGGAGGGCACTAGGAAGGCACTAGGTTGCCTGTCTCTGCCCTAAGATCTGACACAAAGTGTCCTGAAGAAATATTGTGATCCTGGACAAGCACTTCACATGAAAAATAACAAAGCTTATGAACAGATCCGATATGTTGGAGACTTGTCAAATCACTAGTTATAGTATCTGTGAACAGAAGCAACATAGTCCTTCCCGTATCTATTTTTTTAAAAAGAACTACATAAATAAGGTAGTGCGTTTTATTCGGAAATTTAGAATTTATCGTTGAATTCACCATATTCTGACTTTTCTTCTTTTTAAAGTAGATTTTCTGTCTTTCTACGTATGAAGATAACTGAAAAGTAAGCATTCTTAGTTAACATTTTAGAATGTGAGGGAATGCAACTGAATAGGGTTTTCCAAGGGTAATCACTATTACTTCCCCATGACTACTAAAAGTAGAATAATTAGATATCAGTGCAAATTTGTGTTGTTTGTGCAAATTATAGAATTCAATTTCTTTGTGTGGGAATTTGGCTCATCGTGGTGCAGAAGCTTTTTAAGCGTGCTTGGCCCTAACTTTATTGCACTAAATGTGAAAGGATATATACTTTAGAGTATATACAATAAGCAGCACTCAATATTTTAAAAATAATTATTAAAAAAGAGAGATGGAGGAAGAAACCAGGTTATATAGGCATTTTATGGGCATTTACACTACACAGCATCAGGTTATGCCTTGTGGTTTTTTTCTTCTTATATATAAGAACCCCTTAACAAAAGTTAAAAATTTTATACTAAGACTGCAATACAAATTTGTGTTGGGTATGTTTGCCACCTTGAGTTATTTGTAAAAATAATAAAGGCGGCATATAAATAAATAGTACAAAAATTAGACAATGGATCCACTCGCTTGGAAGGGAAATTTTGATTCTGAGTGTAATAGAAGTGTCTGATTCATGAAATAACAAGTAATTTATTTCAGAAGATATATAACTGGATCTTTCTCCCCCGAAAAACTTTATTTTTTGTAATACTTTGCGCATCATGTGTCTAAATTAGTTTTGTTGGATGGAGTTTGCATCTTCCATACAAATCTTCAGTGAAAACATTCCGTTTCTTTCATACGTCTCCAATTTTATCTGTCTTACTGCATTCAAGCTAATGTCTGGTCAGCAGCTGAGAAGGTTATTAAATTTCATCTTGACCAGCTTATGAACAACCCATTTTCTTTTTTGCTACTCCAGCCTTCTTCTTGTTGCAATTGCAACTATTGTGAGTTCTGTCAAAATATAGCTTCCTCTGTGCATGCAGTGTGATAATCTGTGTTGAATGTGCTTTATTTCCATGAGCTTCCGGTCCCCTAAGATATGGCCATGATTATACTCTGTATTGATATCTTTGCATATTTGCTGGAAAATAATGGCTTGCTATGCTCCATTTCCTTGCAGGGTCTGTGCATACATATGTAGCTGTGCTCAGTACTTCATGGCCTTCCAAATAAGCTTTGACAGGGGAATAGATGAAAGTTTAGGTTTACACTTTTGAAATGTTTACTGCACTCTTTCTCTATGTGTATCTTGGCTTTGCGGCATACTTGGCCTATTAGGGTGAACTATTTGTGTATAATATGATGAGTGTCTCATGTATTGCAGGACTAAAGTGAGATGGCTTTGTTTCAGGGGAATTTTAACAAATCAGAATACATTGTACAATAAATCATGTGTTGTGTGTTATGGAAACAGGACACAGAAATGTTCATAACTGTGCAGCTTTGCTTTAATCTAGAGTTTTCATGTCGCTATCTCATTGGCTCTTGGAAGTGGACGTCAAGCAATTGACCAGTTTTGCTACCCTCATTCTGCAGCCCTTCTCTTCTGGTTTTCAAAGAAAAGGGCCAAGAAAATAGGATTAGCAAAGCAGGGATGACATGAACAGTAACGCAGACTGCATAATGAAGGAAGAATCATGTGAAAGCTGCAAGTCCTGCACTGTAATCTGTGACACTGTATCTGGTCGGGTGGGAAACGGGTGGGGAGGTTGGGAAGACATCTTGTTGTTAGGGAAGTGGAAGCTTGAAGTATTTGATTATGTATAATATTTTATATAAACGTAATAAGCTTAGTTCCCCTTCATAATCTTCATTGATGGTACTTAAGCAACTTTAAGTAAAGATAACTGTTTTAAGACAAAAAATAAACATACTGTATATAAGATCATGTGTAATCTTTGTTTTGCCAGCAGAGTAATATGTATTGCTTTATGTGGGGGGGAGTCTTTTAATGCACTGTTATCTCCTACATATTTAGTGGTAAATTAATTCTATTTAATTTTTTTTTAAAAAATATCTGTCTTCAGTAGACACTAAAAAGTATTACATAATGTGGACTGAAACGGTCCCTTTTGAAAAGCAGTTTAATAATTCTTATATCTGTAAGTAGTTTGCTTTTCTGTTTGTTTTATTTGCTCATGTATAACTATTTGTGGAAGATTGCCTGCCCTCAGTTCTCTTTTATGCATTACTTCACATATTCATCTTCGGTTCTTGCATTTGTTTTTATTATATCCTTGTGTGTCCTCTTTAATGTCTCTTCAGTTCATCAGTAATAGTCCATGATTACCAATATATTTTTTGCCTGTTGAGGATGGATGGACGGACAGACAGACAGTTGCACTAAATATTTCAATTTCCCCAGTGTAGAGTTATATTTTCACTTGTTAAGATTCCATGGCATACTTACACTTAAATGGAAATAATTACATCATCATGTTTTACATCAGTAAAGTATTATTGATGCAACACTTTGTTCTCCTTCTTTTGTGTCCCCCCTCCCCCCCAGTCTTTAGAGGGTGCCCCAACTACTCCATGGGGAAAGGAAATTAGTGCTGTTTCATCAGAGGACAGATGTAAGGGGATATAACTCTTTGTAGGAGTCTATGTTTTAACTTTTTAAAAAGCATCTCCAGGCTCACTCTTTAATGTATACAAGACCCTCCCTGCTCCTAACTTTAATCATTGGAGGGGTTTTTTTACTCACTATCAACAATATTGATCTCAATTGATTTTCTCATTGATAAGTAAGAAGAAGAATAAGCTAATTACTTAGGAACTGGCCTATATAATTTCCAAACTTGGCCTTGCTTAACTAATGCAGATGAAAGGTGAGTAGAAATATGTTATGTAGATGGGGAATTTAGTTCCTAACATCCCCCAGGTCAATTTACCTTGCCTGACTCTGTTTAATAATTGGCTTAAAGTTTGGAACTGCTGTGCTGGGCATTTGCAACTAAGAGAATCCAATAAACTTTGCCCTCATTAAATGTTTGTGCTTTTTAAAATGTCCTTACATTGCTCTCAATAGACTGTTAAAAACTATGTTTTCATTCATTACATCTGCAGTATTTTAATTTTTGTTGTAATTATTTTGAATTGCTTCCGTGTGGATTTTTAAAAATAATATACATTTGTAATAATAAAAAGTTTGAAGTCAACCAGGTGTGTGATGGGAAATCTGTAAACTTTGGACTGCAGGAGGAATATGATGTGCAATTTTATTTAAAACTTTCCTCTTCTACTCACACACTGCACAAGAGTTTTACACGTCCCCTCAAATGACATGATTCATAGTTTTGGAAATATTTCTCCTAAGTGAGGTCTTTTGTGTAATTTTCATGTGCAAAAGACCAGGTCCAGGTGTGAAGGTTCAATTAAGCTGTTTTATTGCTAAAAGCCTATGCACAAGAATCTTCTCAATTAATGGTTGACACTTGCTTAGAGTTAAATAAGGGTCATCGGCGTTTAAGGGGAGTTGGACTTTTTAATACTCTTGTGGCTACGTAAGGATTCTAGGTGGATCCTTTTTTAACTCTGCCCCCAGGTTCTGTCATCCCGTTTCCTTTATCAATCAATGGTACCTAATGGAAACAATATAATTATTCTTAAATGATAGGCTGATTAAAATATTTCACCACCAGAGAACAATTGTGATAGATTTGCAATATCCTTATGGCAGCAGCTCTGTTATTGTAAAGGGTGAACCTAGGTAAACTGAGTGTGGCATCTCAGTTTATAAGTTGTGAACCCTTTTGAAATTTCAGTATTTATCCATAAAAATAACCTGAAACATTTAAAACTTGATAAAGAGAACCCAATTAAACAAATGAATTAAAATGTATACTTCTTCAATTACTGAGTAAAATGATCCAAAAGTATGAGAACCTCTAGGACAGGGGTAGGCAACCTTGGCTTTTTTATGACCCGTGGACTTCAACTCCCAGAATTCCTGAGCCAGCTGGCTCAGGAATTCTGGGAGTTGAAGTCCACGAGTCATAAAAGAGCCAAGGTTGCCTACCCCTGCTCTAGTAGTATCAGTTCACTTGAAAGGGAAATTAGAATTGGGTGTTTAGTCAATGGGATGATAATCAGGTGGGAATGTGGGAAGTGCTGCCTTATTTAAAGAACAGAATTCTGGGTATTCACTATCAAAGTCTGATCTTTGGAACACAACTGTGTCATGGTTTAAAGAAAGGAGATTTTTGAGGACCTCCAAAAAACCAGGGTATTTTTTTTATGATCAGACTAGAAAATGTTACAAAACTTCTTCCAAAGAGTTTAGACTTTGCCAGTCCACTGTGAGACAGATTGTGTATATATAGTGGCAATTCAACATCATTGTAACCTTCACCAAGACTGTTTGATCAACTAAGATCACTCCAAAAGCAAGGCATGTAATATACTCTGAGAGATCTCAACCTCAGGATAACATCTTAAGGAACTAAAGGCCTCTTTTGCATTAGCAAATGTCAGCTTTCACAAGACCACCATCAGGAAAATACTGAACAACAATGGTGTGCCTGGTAGAGTTGCAAAAAGAAAACTGCTACTTTGCAAAAAAAAGAACATAGCTGCCCACTTACAATTTGCAAAACCACAGAAGGCTACTGGAAGAATGTTCTGTGGATGGATGAGACCAAAATAGAATTTTTCAGCTTCAGCAGAAAAGTATTATGTTTGGCAAAAGGCAAAAACTGCATTCCGGCACAAGAATCTTATCCCATCTATGAAACATGGTGGCTGAATCCTGTTTCGGGCCTGCTTTATTACTTCTGGACCAAAATGGCTTTCCCATTCTTGAATTTTGAACTGTACCAGCAAGTTATACAGAAAAACATCAGTGTATTTCTCTGTCAGTGAAGCTCAAGAGAAAGTGGATCATGCAGAAAGCCAATAA